GTTTTATTTGAGAATCTGTACTTTTACTCAAATAGAAATCAAGTGTTTCTACTTTTACTGGAATCATGTTTTATTAGAGAACCTGTACTTTTACTCAAATAGAAAACAAGTATTTCTACTTTTACTGGAATCAAGTTTATTAGAGAATCTGCACCTTTACTCAAATAGAAAACAAGTGCTTCTACTTTTACTGGAATCATGTTTTATTTGAGAATCTACACTTTTACTCAAATAGAAATCAAGTGTTTCTTCTTTTACTGGAATCATGTTTTATTTGAGAATCTACACTTTTACTCAAATAGAAAACAAGTATTTCTACTTTTATGGGAATCATGTTTTATTAGAGAATCTGTACTTTTACTCAAATAGAAAACAAGTGTTTCTACTTTTACTGTAATCATGTTTTATTAGAGAATCTGCACTTTTACTCAAATAGAAAACAAGTGTTTCTATTTTTACTGGAATCATGTTTTATTTGAGAATCTGTACTTTTACTCAAATAGAAATCAAGTGTTTCTACTTTTACTGGAATAATGTTTTATTAGAGAATCTGCACTTTTACTCAAATAGAAAACAAGTGTTTCTACTTTTACTGGAATAATGTTTTATTTGAGAATCTGCACTTTTACTCAAATAGAAAACAAGTGTTTCTACTTTTACTGGAATCATATTTTATTAGAAAATCTGTTATTTTACTCAAATAGAAAACAAGTATTTCTACTTTTACTGGAATCATATTTTGTTAGAGAATCTGTACTTTTACCCAAATAGAAAACAAGTATTTCTACTTTTACTGGAATCATGTTTTATTAGAGAATCTGTTATTTTACTCAAATAGAAAACAAGTGTTTCTACTTTTACTGGAATAATGTTTTATTAGAGAATCTGCACTTTTAATCTAATAGAAAACAAGTATTTCTACTTTTACTGGAATCATGTTTTATTTGAGAATCTGCACTTTTACTCAAATAGAAAACAAGTGTTTCTACTTTTACTGGAATGTTTTATTAGACAATCTGTACTTTTACTGAAGTATTTGATTTGTGTTCTTCATCCACAAGTGGTTGCTGGAAAACCCTCAGCTCATAACACACACACTCTCACACACTCACACTCACACTCGCACTCGCACTCGCACTCGCACTCACACACACCTGTGTATCCGCCGCTCCTGTAAGTCTGCCTCGTAATACCCGTGTTTGCACTCTTTGCCCACCAGCTCGTGTGGGTGTGGCTTGTACGGCTGGTTCTTGGTCACCAGAGAGATGCGCACTCTCAGCGGCCCGCTGTAGTTGTGTACCTATGAAAAGAGCCGCACAGAGTCATGTAACCACGCGGTGTCGTGTATCAGGTACAGCATGTGTCTCCTGGCCCGAAATGGAGAGGAATAACACTGGGCGTGCCTGATGGGAGCCGATCTCAGCGTCTCACCTTGATGGCGGGGTGTGTTTTTGTGGACTCGTTGCTCTTCTCTCCTGGGATGCTGCCAGCGGATCGACCCTCGCATTTATAGCGGAAACGCATCCCTCGTGCTTTCGGCTGCTCGATTATCTCCACGTACGGAGGGCCTTTAGACAAACACACAGAAACACAGTTACAACATGCTGCGTGTTTGGGAATTCATCTCAAATAATCTCCAGAATATCATCTAGAATAATCTATAGCTCAGTGTTCAAGTGTTTGGGGTTGGTACGCTTTTAAATGTTTTTTAAGACTCTTCTGTTCACCAAGGCTGCATTTATTTGATCAAAAATACAGTAAAAACAGTGAAATATTATTACAATGTGAAACAGCTGTTTTCTTTGTGAATCTCTGTTAAACTGTAATGTATTTCTGTGATGCGCAGCTGTATTTTCAGCATCATTCCTCCAGTCTTCAGTGTCACATGATCTTCAGAAATCAGTATAATATGCTGATCTGCTGCTCGAGAAACATTTCTGATTATTATCAATGTTGAACACAGTCGTGCTGCACAATATTTCTGTGGAAACCGTGATACATTTAATTTTTCAGGATTCACAGATGAATAGAAAGTTCAAAAGAACAGCATTTATTTCACATAGAAATCTTTTGAAGCATTATAAATGTCTTTACTGTCACTTTTGATCAGTTTAACGCGTCCCTGGTGAATAATCGTGTCTCTGGAGTCTCTGAAAGTGCAGTGAGCCGTGCACAGCTTGGTCTATTATTATCGTAAAGCATAACTTGACTGTTCAGTAGCAGATCTCAAGGTAAATGTCGTTGTTTGAGAGAGTGACTAGAGTCAATCGTAAACACAGCTCCAGCGTAATGGCGTGACATATACAGTAGACTTCTCCTACCTTGGGCCACCGGGGACGCTCCCCACTGGTGAAACAGTCCTGAAAGAACAAGGGATGAGAGATCAGTCACACAAAGCAGTTTATAGCACACTCTCCAGAGACGCCATACGAGTCAAACCTGCCGAGAACACACCTAAACCAGACAACGCTTCTTCTCACTCCATGTTAAGCTTGGTTTACATGACACCACCAGATCTGCTTATAATTCACATATTTCGTTCAGAAAATCATGTTTTAACAATAAAAATATAATTTCATAAAGGTGCTCACTCATTAGTCCTTCTGACCTTCATACAGGAGTCGTTATGGATTTGAAATAAATGGCCAAACATGAAAATGAGCTAAAAACGTGCTCACCCTCAGTTTTTGTGTCTTACAGTGTGTCTTCACGAGATTCGTGAAGATTCATGAATCAGACACTAAACAAAAGACAATCATGAGTGTGAGACGGACGGACGAAGAGGAAAATCCAGAAAGGGCGGGCGACGGCAAACACACTTGGCCTGGTTATGACTAGCCCGTCTGCTAGATGAAGCCTGTTTAACATCTCAGACTCTGTGTAAACATTCTGCAACGCTTTTAACATCAACGACAAACACGCGCCACTTCTAAGTAAATAAATAGATTTAAATAAGTAAATAAAACAACATGAATAAGTATAGTAATACAATACAGTATAGTAATAAAGAATAATAATACACACACACACACTCACACACACTGAGACACACACACACTCACACACTGACAGACACACACACACACACACACTGACAGACACACACACACACATGCACGGACATATATAATGATATATATTATCATACAGATATTTCTGTTGGAAATTCAATCTCCAATGCCTTTTATATACCATAATCATGTCTTTAAAATGTTGTTTCGATTTTTCAATAGATATTGATACTAAAATAGATCAATACTCATTTCCCACAGT